AAAAGTTGCTTCCGCTTGTAGAAAGTTCTGCTCAAGTCTTGGCTATTGAACAGCGAAAATCGCAGGTCTCTATCTCATTCCTATCAAAAGTTATTCAAAAAGTGGCTGACTGTTTTGTATTTTGGAATGCATAGTACATTTTGTTTAATAGCTTTTTGCTCTACGTATGCTCCTTCATGAATGACCTTACTTTTTAATTTGGCTCTTTCTCGTGCGAAAAGTGTCAGGATCTTAGCAGTAGAGCTAAGATTAGAAATAGGAATTATTTCCGAACATATGATTAGAAAGAGCGTGAAAAATTGAACAAAATGAACATAAATGCAAAACAACATTTTCTGACACAACTCTCAGATAATTTGGCTGTGAGATTTGTTTTTCAAATCATAAAAATCTCATGTAATTTTCTTTTTGTGTACATACAAAAATGTCGATAGTGGTATAATTTACAGAATTGCTATTAATTTAATTATTAATCATATGCAATCTTTGTTTTGTCTGACCTTCCACAATATTTGACAACAGAAATTTTATTTTAACTTATGTTTTAATTTATACGAGTAGAAAACAATAAAAACAAGAAAACTTTAAAAACTTTCTGCCGTTCTTGCTGCAACTGTTCTTAGTTTTCCGTAAACTTTTGATGGCGGAGAGCCTAAAACATCAATGAAAAGAAAAAAAAGTGAAAATTGACGTTGATCACAAGAAATAAAGTACTTACCTAGAATAAGATTACATATGGATGTTCGCGCATTTCGAATATTTTGATATGAGCCGAGAATATGAATTTTGCTAAACAAAAAAGTAATAAATTATGACACTATTTATGTTATACCTGAAAGAAATAACAAAAATATCTTACTCATCAGCCAAAACAATTCTACATCTTGTGGCGTTTTCAATTGCAAATTTCGTTCTTCCATTTTTACCAGCTATACGACCAATTGCACGAGACAAATGATCGCCTTTCAATGGTTTAACTAAATTCAAGAAACAAAAATAAATATTCATCTCACATTTAATGATACTAGTCCTACCATCGTTTATTTCGAATGATTCAAGAAATAGATCGTCTAATCTGATGAGTGCAAGTGCATCATCAACTTCAAATCCGAGCGCAAATGCTTTAACAAAATCAGCTAAAAAGAAATAGATTCTCACATTATTCATATTTATGTACATCCAGAAAGCGAACCTGCTTTTTGTAACGATTGTATATCAGTTGTTTCATCACACGTTTTTATCTCTACACTTCTTGTTCTTAAATTAAAACGTATCTGTAAATGGAGATATTCAACAATTGGCGTATAAATTTTCATCCAATTCTCTTTCAATGGTGTATAACGATGAGATGGAATCAAAATTTTTCGAAATGCATGTTCTTTATCCTATTAATCAGAAAATGAGTATGAAAGTTTAACATAAGACCAAAAAGCAATCTGTATGCATACAGTCAGTTGTGAAGGATCAATTTGAGGAAATGGTGCTGTTGGTAATATAGTTGAAGAAGATTTTGTGGTTTCCATATCAATATCTGTTGTTGTCGTCGTTTCTGTTTGTTCTTCATTCATTATTTCCATATCGACCTTATCATATTTTCTTTTACGATTTACTTTCTGAAATTCATGGGTATTAGAATTTTCATTGTCAAATGTTGTCTTGTTCATGTTCGAAGTTGATGACATGATTTTTTCTTGTATGATCTGAAAAAATTTCTGTCAATTAAATAGAGAGAAACATGTTTAATTTGTCTACATGCACAAATCACGACAACGTTAAAATAGTAGCTATAAATTGATTTTTAGCTAATTAACAAAATACCCGATAACTAGCAAAAAACGACAGAGCATACAGTCATTCCTCATTCTTCAAATGGAACTTTTTATTTATCGAAGCACCTAGCTACCCTATAGAGAATTAACTACTAAGGTTGTTTTTTATTTAGTTCAAGATAAAAAAAGCGGTCAGCACCTGAAAAACGTAACATCAACACTCGAATAAAGAAATTTAAAAAAAACATATATGTATTTAATCTAAAATAATGAAAAAGGCTAGTATAATAGGAAAATTCTCTTTTAGTGGTCGAGGTCCACATAAAAAATAAACGAAAACATCATTTTACTCTAAAAAAAGTGTTACTGTTCTATTTCACGACTAGATGTAATCCAATTTGATGTTTTATGTTTGATTATCTTCATAAAAAAAAACTACTTTTACCAGGGATATGTTTATAATAGATAATATATGATTAGGAAAATATTGCTTATGAACTTTTGTTTTGTTGCCATGAATTACATATTTCAGTAAATTCTTGTTTTAAAGAAGCGCCACCTACTAAGAAACCATCGATATCTGGCTTTTTGGCTAAATCAGCACAGTTTTTACCAGTTACAGAGCCTGAAATTCAGAAAAAAATTAAGTTCCGTCTTCTTTTTCATAATTAACAATTTCTTACCTCCATAAATAATTCGTGTAACATTAGCACACTTTTCACTAATTTCCGTTTTGAGAAAATGATCACGAATAAATTTGTGTACTTCTTGCGCCTGTTCGGGTGTGGCAGTTTTGCCTGTTCCAATTGCCCAAACTGGTTCATATGCAACAACAATACGGTCATAATAATCTTTGCTATCACCAATTTTCTCTGAAACAGACAACATCTGCTACATTCAGAGCCGATCTAGAGATTTTTTAAGAAGGGACAGGAGCAAATTCTCAAAAAAAAGTTCATATTGCTTTTGTTTTTTAGCTGCAACTTTTTAGAAGGACAAGGAAGAGTAGTAAACAACTTTATAACGAGAAAGCAACGAAAATTTTCTGAAATGGGAAGGCTATCGACATGAACAGTTTCTGAAGTTACGTTTAAGTGCATTCAATTGTCGTGTAACAATATCATTTGTTTTATTTTGTTCTCGTTCTTCAAGTGTTTCACCAATACAAAAGATAACGCTAAGTTTTGTGTGTTCCAAAACAAATTTTGCTTTTTCTGCAATTTCCTACAAAAAACAGATACTATTGTGAATAAGAAGTACAATCTTTCATTAAAATAAATCAAATTACATCATCTGTTTCTTTGAAAATTGTACGACGTTCGGAGTGTCCTAAAATGACCCATTGACATTTCAAGTCTTCCAACATTTGTGGACTAAAACGAGAGAAATAAATTACTATCTTGTAGAGGCAACTGGAAAGTAGCTTACCTTGTTTCTCCAGTAAATGCGCCGTTTTCTTTTTTATAACAATTTTGACCAGCGGCTTGAACATGGTTTGGCTTTGATTTTATAAACTCACTGAGCCAGACAGCTGGTGGGGCACAAACAATATCAACTACAAAAAATAACAGACTATAAATGCGCATGTTTAACAAGTGAAACAATGATTTTTATCTGCAGAAACTTTACAACATATATGTATGTTTAGCACTGCTTTCATTTTTCAGAGAACATTATGCACTTTCTTACGTGATTCATCTTTAGTATTGACAGCGTTTAAAAATCCATTAACCTCGTCTATAATTTTTTTGCTACCGTTCATTTTCCAATTACCCCCAACAAAGAATTTTCGACCCACATCTCTATTTTAGAAGAAAACAAATGATTCTACTAATAAAGAAATAAAGAAAAAGTCAAGTTACTTTGAGCTAGCCATATTGTGAGATTCAGACGATAAAAACTTCCTAAATAGATGATCTACAATAAGAAAAAAAACAGAATTTCTTACTGTTAAAAGAAACTGATTGAATATGGCAACGAATTTTTACTAGTTCGTGCTACTCGGAGTGATAAACATAACAAATTCATTACACTATTTGTTTGTTTAGAAGTCACTGCTAATCTAAAAGATACTGTGTATTACTGGCTCATCGTAGCATTAATATTTGCAAAATGATGAGAATGTAATCCAGTAGGAAAGTCTATTACTTCTTCGCTTATTTCGCACTGCGAGTCAAATAAGTTAAGCATGTCACAAAAAAAATGTTTACAATATTTTTTACTAAAATACTTAGAAAAAAAGAAGAAAGCGGATTCATAACTTGTAGCCAGAATGAATAGCCGCTATTCCAAATGATAAATTTTTATAGGAAACAAAGCGAAAACCACACGAACGTATTACAGAAGAAAATTCTTCCTGTGACGGAAATTGTCTTATTGACTCAATTAGATATTGATATGATTTCCAATCACCGGCAATAATTTGTCCTAACGGTGGTATGAATGTCACTGAATATTGATCATAAGCATAACGTAATAGAGGATTATTAATTTGACTAAATTCTAAACATAAAAAACGTCCACCTTTTTTCAATACACGATAAGCTTCTTTAACAACGTTATCATAATGTGTACAATTTCGTATACCAAATGCGATTGTATACAAATCAAATTGTTCATTCTGAAATGGTAATGATTCAGCATTGCCTTCTATCCACTGGATACGAGATGCTAAATTATTTTCTTGTGCCCGTTGACGACCAATATTTAACATATTTGAATTAATATCGACAACTACACAATTTGATGTTGGACATATCAGACTTTCAGTCCTAGAATCAGCCATGTAACTGTGTGTTGGAGTCGAGGAAATATTGATTTCAGGTGTAGATGATAAATCTGTTGGTGGTGGAGTTGGTGTTAGGGTTGGTGTTGGTGTTGGTGTTTGTCTAAAATTACGATCGATGTAATTTAAGTAACGAAAAGCAATATCGCCAGTTCCACCGGCAACATCGATATAGTTCCATGACGCATTTGGCTTAATAATACCGATAAAATAGTCTTTCCATACCCGATGAATACCCAAACTCATTAGATCATTCATTACATCATACCGTTTTGCTACAGATGAAAATACTTCATTGACACGTGTTTGTTTTTCATTTTCAGGTACTTCATCAAAACCAAAATGAGTTGTTGTTGTGGACGTTACAAATCGAATAGGTATTTGATGTAAACACTTGAAAATACTAACAAAAGTTTTGTAATAGTTAGTAGACTGATGACATGTAACAAACATTGACTTGAATATCATCTAAAATACATTTCTTCAAAGAATATAAAGTTTCTCCATCAAATAATCGAAATCTGTTCAAACGATCTAATAGTGTCAACAAATAAATAGTTAACAATAGCCACTTAATTAAAAATGAACTGATTTCAGAGATGGATGGGACGTATCATCGGAAGAATTAAACAAGAGACAGATAAGATCTACATTCTTTTCCTTTTGTTTGATCAATCAACCAAAAAAGGTTTATCAGCGCTGTTGATTTGACAAATAGGAAAAAAGTGAGAGAAGACTGCAAAAAAACGAAATATTGTTGGTTATTCACAGATTACACATATTTCACTAAAAAATAGCTATGTTATTTTGAAAACCGGTTGGTTTGGTAAAAAAACAAACAAAACACAGAAAAATTCTCTATACTGATAATTATGGCAAAGATACAGAAAAAACAACAACAAACTAACAAATGAGCCATGTATGAGAAAAAGTATTTCGATTTTAAATAGCTAATTACCGATTATCATTTCTCAAGTAATTAAGTGATCTAAAACACAACACAAATTCATAACGTAGTTGTTGATGAGAAACTATTGATTCGAACTAACCTCTGCTAGGAAGAATGATTGGCTCCTCATCTGTAAATGTGTGCTGATGTAATTGGGAACGCAAAGAATATTTGATATACAATGATTTTTCTTCACCAATACACGGATCATAGAAACCGGTAATGTTTGATTTTGATACGTTTGTTGCTATCATTAATTTAGAGTCTTTGACAATTGCTTGCAACGGTATAGTCACATCGATTACTTTTGATGGATCCGTTTCTTCTGATATCAAATGACCATAATGTCCACTGATAATTATTAAACCATTTACACCTTCATTATCTTTTGTACGTTCAGCTATAGTTCTTAAAACTTGTTGAGCATTCATTGCTTCTTGTCGACGTTCAGTTTGTTTTTCGCGTGCTTCGTCTTGACGTTGTTTTTGTTCCCTGCAATGAAAACATTGTAAATACGCAAATGTAAAAATCAAACAGACTACATACCGTTCTTGTTGTGACTTTGAAAATGGCCTAATTATCAATCGATCTAATGCTAAATAAGCAATCACTGGAAGAACAGTAGCGTAAAAAACAGAACTAGGTATAATTTCTTGCGACAATTGTAATGGAAATGTGAATGATTGACTGCCACGTGAAAATCTAAGTACAAAACAGAATTTGTGTTTGTTAGCTTATCGTGAGGCTATTTTTTGTATTTCACGGAACTCACTTCAACCTCAATAGCACACCCATTCTCGTACTAAGAGCAACTGTTGCTGAACCATGTGTATATTTTGTTAACTGTCGGTCAATTCCATATTCAATCCATGGTCCAAATATGAACATTCTATAAACATCAGAGAAAAAACTTTTACACTAAACATGTAATATTAGTAATTCTTACTTTAAACTAAAACGTAGATTACAAATATTCTGTAAACGATAAATACCATCAATAGCACCATACGTGTTCACAAAGCCAAGCTACATTTAAAAAAACTGCCTGCTGCACACCAAATCATTATTTGAAACTAATATTTACTTGCACTGCTGTGGCAATTGACCATTGTTGGTTATCATAATGCAAACCAGCTACAAAATAATGTGAAGCATACTTTAGAGCAATCAGCATATTATCAAACCAGGTTGACTCACCTTTCATAAACGAATCGTTTCCCGTTTTCCATTGTAAACTAGTCGATGTGTGTTTTCCTAATTGATATGTCGTTGAAAATAAAAAACCTGGAGTCACAATTGCCCCAGCTTGCATAAGAACAAATGAGCTACTAACACTGGCCTGTCTAAACTAAGATTAAATGTCAAATCACTGATCGCCATCTGTTTTCCTATTTAGCAGCTTACAATTTCTGAGTTAACCGTCGGAAATATCGCAATGCCAATATATTTCTATTACCAAAACCCAGATCAATCTTAAATAAAAATAAATAATCAATAAACCTGAATAAATTTAAAGTGCAGCGAATGACTTACTCGAAACCATGATGAATCGGCTAAAACACGCCTAAAAGATGTTGTTATAGATCCTGAGCCTCGTCCATTTCTTGTTGTTGCAACAGCTGATACTGTGGCTGTGTCTTGATTTGTCAAGGGAACATCGATACCCTGAGCCACGGTAAATTCACTAATTTCGATGTTGGGTTTATAAAAATCGCTAAAATTGGATATTATTTGAAACAAATAAAAAATATATCGCAATAAATCAATACTTGTCATCAGTTGAATTCATTTGTTCAAATAAATCTGTTAAGTTTAATGTCATTTGAACTGAGCCCTGAAAGGAAGAGAAGATTCAGCTTCAGACAATTTAACAACAAGAAACTCAGTATACCTACGTTTGGATTTGTAATCTGCTGAAAGCGCTTTTCCTCACGCTCTTTTGCCAATCTTTCATATTCATCAAGAATTTCTCGTGCAGTTTTCGTGCGAGTTATGATCTGAAAACGAAAGACAACTGTTGTTGAAGACAAGAATCATTTTAGAATTTAGGTACTCGCCTCCCATCCATCTGTTCTCAATCCTTTCATTCCCACAACATCGTATATTGCTCTTTTTTGTGGATCATTTATTACTGAAAAGAAACAACCGCAATTTAAGATTTTTATCAATCTATATTTAAAAATGTTTCTCACTATCATATGCTTTTTTCGCTTGAATAAATAGATCCATCGCTAGTTGTTTTGTTCTTGGATCAGCATGCTTGTCCGGATGATACAGTAAAGACAAACGTCGAAAGGCTTGTTGTAATTCAGCTTGGGAAGCCTAAATTGAAAAGTTAAAGAAAAATGATTTTTATAATTTGTCAAAAGACAAAATGCTTACTTCTTTACTGATCTGTAAAATTGCATATAAATCTCGTTCAGTATCATTACGATTTAGTTCTTGTTGAAAAAAACTCGATGAAGATTCAGAGAAGTCATCATCACCTCCACCTGAACCAGTTGCCATTCAATAACAAAAAAATATGTTCTACCTAATTTCAGCAAATGAAAGTGACAGAAATAATAACCACATGTGTCTAAAAGAGAATTTTCCAGTTTAAAGGGTCTTGAAATCTTCTCTAAGGTTCGGCAAGAATTAAAACAGTTTTTAGTTCTTTAAGGAAACTTTTTTACGCGGAAGAACAGCAGTGGTATTTAGAAAATTCTCTTATTCTACTTTTTACGCTATTTCAGATAAAAAAAGACACCTATTGATTTGCTCGACTTACACTTGGTTTCAGCATTTTTTCGTCAGGATGATGACCTAGCGCTGCTTCTTTCTAGCATTACTTCGCTACCCATCTAAATTCTACGAAACTTAATCCTCCAGCAAGTCATTTTGCATATAACTTTAAAAGAATGGTAGCATTGAAAAAAGGCAGATATAGTGCATGCTTAGAACATATCATTGTACCCTTCTTTAGTCATAATTAAAAGATTCGAGAAAGATATACATTTCGGTTTATTCAAAAAAGAAAATTTTTGTTAACCTCGTATTAGTTAATTGCTCATTGTTCTTATAAGGTTAATTTAACATCATTTTTGGAACTATCTTAGTAGTTCTAGATAGATTATACGTTACCGGATTATGAAGGCTGGTTAAGTAAGCCGTCGCTTATTGGTGACTCTAGTCCAATAATAAACTGGTCGATCTGATTGGCTTGAGACTTTATACAAGCTTTTGGGGAACGCGTGATGAATAGCAGTTTTTACTATTTTTCCAGCGTCCTTTCTATAGCTTGACAAAGTGCACGTACCCGAGATGTCACGTAGATAATAAAATAGAACACATTATTTTTATGCTCTCTCATAATCACAGAAATAATTTCTTGTTAACTGCATAAGTTTAGACGAAGGGAGACGCTCTGGTACAACGATCGTAGCGATTTTTTCTTGTATGAAAAATTCGAATATTTTTAGGAATACAATTTGCTACAAGTCTCTGAAGGAGGATGGAAACCCCTGGCTCTCAGTCGAAGATAAGAGCACTGTCTAAAAGTGAGAATTTAACCAAGAGCAGATAATGTAGGATTATACAAATAAATTGGTTATTCTCTTAATTTATCATCAGGTTGATCAATACTCATCTGAAGTTATTGTTTTTTTGAGATGTCTACTCAAGATATGAGAAAACTCTCTGCAGTTTTAAAAGCAATTGATACTATAGAGGGTAAGAGTTGCTTTTTTTAATAAACATTTGTATCTACCCTCTGGATTATTTAGAAAAAACAAATATAATCCATGATCAATATACAAAATCAAATGATATTCAGTATGAAAATGGTATGAATAGTGATGTAGTTGACGACTCGAATGTTAATTTACAAATCTTCTTTTCAAGACTTGAACAACTATTATTAGTTGATCTAAAAAGTACGTCATAGTTTTTCTTCTTCCATTGTAGACATGTATATGTTAAATGTTTTACTTTTAGATAGAAAATCTCTTTTGGGAAACAAAAACAAAACCTACTGGGATTTTTTTGTATTAGTCTTAAAAGATAGTAAAGGATTATACGATGGTGTATTGTACGTTCTCAATTGTCAAGAAGTTAAAACATCAGTCGGCAGAGGACGGCTGTTTATTCGATTTTGTTTGCAAAATCATCGCTTAGGAGATGTTATACAGCAAAGTTTTATGATAAACAAAGCTGTGAGGTAATTATCACCCATTTTTACAAACATTGCATCAATTTTGCTATTCATTTAGTCAATTTTATACACCCGAATGTTTATGGAGTAATCCTCTTTATACACATCGGATTATTCAAGCTATCTATCAATTGAATGATATTAAATTCGATTTATTAGATAGTCGAACAATATACGAATTAGATGTATCATGGCCATCGCTGGAGTACGTTTAAAATTGTTTGGACAATCTTAATTCATCTTTTGTATGATCTCAAGGTGATCAACAATTCTAATATAACGTCTTTATATTTTGTTTAATCTACAGATCGCGAACACGTTCAAGAACAATTTCAGATGCAATGAGACATAGGACTAATAGTATTTCAAGTTTTTTATCAATGGTATGTATCTAAATGAGTTATAGTTCATAAAATGATTTTTCTTCAGTGGCTAAAAGTTTTTGCTTGTTTTTTGTTAAGGAGAGTGTTATTTCAAGTTCTGTACCTATTGGAGAAGATGAATTTCTAACCTCAATTCCAAAATGTGATCTTGATTTATCCTCTTTTCAGGTAGATTTCTATTGTGATATTACGCGAATATATTAGTTGGACAATGTCTACTAACATTTTCGTTTTTTAGCAACTAGCAGATGCGTCATTGAATGGAGGAAGTTCTGCGCAATCAGTTTCATCCAACGAAGAAATTAATGATGGCTCTTCATCGTATTGGAAACAACGGTAGATCACCGCAGACAATCGATCAAAATTAATTGCTCACCTCACTTTTCTTTCTTATCTAGTTGCCATCAGTTAGAACTCGAACTAGACCAGACACAACAACAACATGAACAGCAGCAGCAAATCTTTCAATCTGACGAACTTGATCAGAACAATTCAACTAAAGAAATGATTGACAGCCCAACACAAACAGATATAAATATATCTGAAGATGAAATGAAAGTATATGAACAAGAAAAACAAAAATTAATTGATAATTATGAAAGTCAGTTAACCACTCTAAATGAAAAATATGAAAAAATAAAATCTTATTCAGGTTTGTTTTTATTGTTTCATTGATAAAACATTGTAGATAATACATACACATAGTTCTGATTGTAGTTACTCTATCTGATGAAATTACGTCGCTTAATTTTCAATTAAGTTCAGTTTCAATTCAACGATCATCCACAACTGATGTAAGAAAACAAATAAAACCTGTTATTTTTATCTATTTACTACATGTAATGATTTATTATTATAGAGAATCAAGGAATATGAACGTGAAATATCAAATTTTCGATCACTTTTAGAATCGAAAGATTTCATGTTAAAAAGTTTACAAGACCAGCATGAGATACAAATGAATAGTCAGAAATCTAATTTGAAACAACTAGTATGTATTTTACTGTGAGATATAGTTTTTAATAATTCGTCTCTCATTTTTCAGGAAGAAAAACAGTCTCAAATATTAAGCGAAAATAATGAAAAGCTAGAAAAAACATTACAAGAACTTGCCGAAGTAAGCGTAGCTTTCCATTTAAATAAGGTAATAGTATTTATAACTGAATTCTTTCGTGTTTTTAGAAAGAAAGTCAGATAGAAAATGAACGAAGCCAATTCATGAGTGAACGAGTAAATATTATATATAAGTCTGACTTACATTAGAGTCAATTTTATTTCCTCATAGAAAGCGTACGAAATATCTAAACAAAAACTTTCCCAAGAACTGGAAGAAAAAACAAATAATCTCAATCAATCCAGATTAGACTTCGACGAAATGAAACGTCGATTAATAAAGGCAATTAGGTTCGTTTACAACTAATTAACGAGAAAAACTCTCTACACAAACAGCACTGACAGTTGAGTCAACATTCATTTTCATATTTTAGAGAAAAGGCAGAATTGTGGGATGAAAAACATAGTTACGAGTTAAAATTAGTTGAAGAACAAGCTAAAGTTTGGATACCAGACGAAGATGCTTTAAATTGTTCAAAATGTGGAACAGCATTTGGATGGACTGTAAGAAAACATCATTGTCGTATGTGTTACAAAATTTACTGTTATTACTGTTCGAACAATTTTACCTCCGGATCAACACCAAAGTGAGTGTTTAATAAAAACTATTATTTTAGTTTAACATTTTTCTTTTCAGTACTCGATATCGTATATGTGATGTATGCAACGAAAAAGTTCTCAGCGAATCTCTGAAACCAACACCAATAGATAATACAGAAATTATTGATATTGATGAATACGATAATATTAATGTTAATTTCGAAGTTCGATCTGAAAAAATTGCGTCAAACATATCAACACATGCCGAAGAAACACCACCTTAAAGTTTGCTCTTGTGTTTGTCTTATGTGTTCTGCATTTAGATAAAAGAACAAGTTTATTTTCAAGAATTATATACAACGCAATAATCCTGTCTTCTTGTCATATCGATTTGTCCAAATAGTCTACTACTTATATATTTACGTTACTAATAAATTGCAATATTTTTTTTCTATTGATTACCTATATTAAACTTGATGAGTGCTGGCTCAAAAGTACTAAAATCATTGTTTTTCTTGTATCGAGAGTGTCTTTCTTTCGTTGTGAATCGTTTCTTATAATTTGTTTCTTCTACTTTTTGTCTATTTATTTGAGCGATATGTTTTGCTTTTGAATTTTATTTTATTACTCGAATAAATTTCAATGATACTAATTCACAAAATGTGATAAATCCTATATGCTATCGTTTAAGCGTCTGTGTTAGTGAAATTTGTTTTCAAGATCCGTGTTATTCGAAGGTTTAACTTATATACGACGTGTAAGTTCTATCTTCCACCTGTATTTAGATCAAATACAAATGTTTCATAGTATAGGATTTAGTAAAGCTAATAATAGTTTTATTATTTATACGAATCAAAATTTACGCGTATGAAAAAAATGTTTGATCGATATGTTTGTCAGTGTAATTATTAAGACAGCTAACAGCTGTTAAATAAGTATTGAAGCAAAAGAAAAAGATTAAATAATAATATAATATGGAATAATGTAGCCAGTCATACTTTGCTATTTTTCGCCAAACTTGACCCTAGAACTCGTAATAATTACTCATTTTCAATTTTATATTGAAATATACTCTCAGGAAGCCATTTCTTGTAGTTTTGGCAATTTATCATATACTTTTGTAAAAAATTTAACCGAATTTCCAATTTTTGGTCGATATAAATTGTCAACATAATGAAATAAATGATTTAATGAAAAGTCAACATTTTTCAATATGAATAATTTTAACTGTTGGTTTTGTTTATCATTTGCCATTTGTTGTGTTTGCAACAGTGCTCGTTCATAATATTTTAAATGTAGTTTAATCAATTCGACAAGTGCTTCGACAATAGTCTGATTAATTAGAGTATAATGTATTTTGTATATATCTCGTGAAAATAGAAGATAGGCTTTAGAAAATTGTAGTGTACTCGGTGCTAGATCAATTGAAACATTTCCATTTTCACTAATAATAACATAATCTTGTAGAAACGTTTTACTATCTAAACCTAACTCATGAAATTCATAATATAATTGTTCAAGTCGTTCATTTGTTTGTAAATTAATTGGCGTCCATTTTTCTTCACGATGACGTTGACGTAGAGTGTCAATAATTAAATCTTTCTGATCTTTTATTGTGCTAATTAACACTTGTTCTAAATATTCTTCAAATAAAAATTTAACATCAATTAATTTTATGGAAAAGTCATTAGCTTTTAATAATAAAATTTCAATATTTTTCATGGTAAAGCCAAAATTTCGCGAACCAATGTAGTGTTGGTTACGTAAAATTTTGATCAGTTTTTCAATTTCATTTGTTATCCAAACAATAAATTTCGAAAAAGTAGATTTGTTATCTTTAAATATTTGAATAAATTCGTAGTAACTACCGGCTAAACGTGTAAAGAAGGTACTGGAATAATTTTCGACGTAAACAACGTTTAATTCTTCTAATTTTGTTTGTTTTAGTGTGGTATTCATTAACGAATTTTGAATGTAGATAAACAAATCACTGAAAAGAAAATCAGAGTAAAGTAGTCTTTTTTCTACGAAAGAATCTCATCACTGAAATTGGAATATACAAAGGAGGATAAGTGATAAAATTTGATAATTATCTATGAGACAAAACTTGTAGCTATATCAGAAAAGTTCCATAATTTTTAGCTTCCGTGCACATTTCTATCATTTATATTTCCATAGTATAGATGTTATTTTTACTTTATTATTTTATACTTATCATCTGCTCTTTCATACTTGTGCTTGATAATAAATTAAAGAGATGTTTGAAAAGATTAAATGACTTACCATGCTTTAGATATGTAGCCTAATTTTTTCAATATTTGTATATGGTGATAATAATGTTTTATAGAATTAATCATTGAACATCCTCGTTCACAAATATTATAAATTTCTTTTTCAATTAATTTACATAATTCTTGTTCTTTTCCTTTGATAGATTTTAAATATTCATCAATAAATGGTAATGTTTGTTGTTGATTTTGTTGCTGTTGAAATTGACTTGAATGTGTACGTGCTTTTAGTATTAAATTAAGTGCTTGATCAAAATTACGTTCAGCTAATAGAATTGTTAAATTTTCTGTAGTATTTGTTACCCATTCATCATTATAAAAATCTTCTTCCAGTGATGATTGATGTTTTTTATCGTGTACTGCTGATATTTGATCAGAATCGGTATACAAAAGAGAACCACGACGCTGTTTTGGATACAAAACACTTTCAAACCATTCAAGCCATGTTTTTTTACTTTGTGAACTATCGCATAATAACGTCACTACTTCCATGTTATGTTTGAGACAAAATGCATTGCGATATTGGTCATCTTTTATATTTGATATTTGTATTTGTTGATGTTGTTTATTGCTATCTTTATCATCCATAGTAAATTTAAATACTTGATCAACATCATAAGCAGTTGCCGTACGAATATTAGACGATTTAGCGATAATGAAACAATCAGTAAACAATAAACCGTAACATTGATGTGTCACATAAGAAGATGTTGGTAGTGGAGATTTGGCAATGGTTGTTTTAGGTGAAACTTCAGACTTGACTTCAAATAATTTACCGCTATACAATAAACGTCTATCACTATTCGATGATACTAAACCTAAACTTTCACAATGACGAACAAGTAATTCCCATGAATCACTGTCTGATGATGTTGTTGGTTTCCCACTCTAAAAATAAAAAAAATCGTTTGGATATAATTTGAATGGGACTGGAGATCTACATGACTAAATCTTACTTTATCTTCGACATTTAATAATTCCTTAACCGTATTCAGTAGTGATTTTTCATCGGCTAATAAGGAATGTAACTGATAGACTTCTGACTCTAATGATGATACTTCTTTAGCCGTGTCAATAAATTTTGTATGATTACGATAAACATTTTGTTTTAATTCTGTTTTAGCTTCACTGGCAATCAAATACATTCGACGTTTCATATTCATTAAATCTACACTACCAATGGATTTTGATGCAATCGATTGAACAAAATCATCGGGTTCGAACTTTGGTGTTAAAAATCGTAAACGGAACGTTGGATCAGAATCACTGAATTCCATCTTAAAAAATCTAAAAACAAAGTATAAGCAAATTATTCTTGATCTCTCGATAAACATCATCATCACATAGTGACTTAACATAAAAAAACTATGAAAAATATAAATGAATAATTTATTAATAGTAAATTCAACGTCCTCCAAATAGAGATGAACCTATTCGCACCATTGTGCTTCCAGCGAGAATAGCTTGTTCATAATCACTCGACATTCCCATACTTAATTCAACATCATTTACTGATAAACTAGATTGTTCACATAAATTATCCCGACATTTGAGTAAAATTTCAAAGTCCTGATTGTTCGTACTTTGTACGTTATCCAGTGCACCAATTGTCATCAAGCCAAGACAATTCAATAATTCACAATTCTTTTTAACATGTTGATAAAGAGTCAAACATTCATTTGGTGCGATACCAGATTTTTGTTCTTCATTACTGGTATTAATTTGAAGAAGAATATTCAAGGGTTTCGAAAACTGAACATTTTTGCACGCATTATTTAAACTATCTGCTAATTGAATGGAATCAATTGTTTGAATACATTCTAAATTTGGAATTTTTACAATACGATTACATTTATTTCGTTGTAAATGACCGATATAATGCCATCGAATATCAGGACACTCTCGTTTAATTTGTTCATTATTCGCTTTTTCCTCTAACTCTTGAACATAATTTTCACCAAATGTATATTGACCACATTTATATAATTCAACAATAGCTTCAATTGGTTTCGTTTTTGATACAGCAATCAATTTGGGAACACTAACCGATTTGCGTTGTTCAGCTAATTCATTTATTCGTTGTAAAATATTTTTTAATTTTAGAGTTATTTCACCCATTGAACGACCACGCATTTAATCTTAAAAATATATCTCAGTCTATAAACTTAGGTTTATAAAGTGTCCCTCCATCGGATATATTATCGTGCAAGTAACTAAAGGAAGGAAGAATATTCGGCTACCATTACCGATGTATGGTATTGACCAGTGTCGATTACAATAGCCAATATCTTCCCTATAGTTGACAGGCTTGATCATATCGCTAGTTGCCATCATCTGCAACTGTGGCTAGAAGACTATAACTCGAAGAATTCTTTCGCTCTATTATTTGAGCTCTTCCCAGATGTTCACTAATCACCTACTAGCTTTTTTACAAAATCATGAAGACTTACCGTATGAATCGTGTCTTACATCCACAATGCAGTGAGAGTATACAGTCGTATGGGCAATCAAACTGTTTAATTTCTTCAAAGCTACAATTTGATGCCGTCTGTCATATTTTGATGTACATGTACGTCTCCAAAAAAGTCCTATAGAAATATGGAGTTTTCAAAAACCGGGGTGCCAGTAAAAGATAATTTTTACATTAATATACCGAACCGCAATAACATCTAGTAGAAAATATTCTCTCTTGAAAAATAATGACATATTCCGATCAGCACGCAAAACTTTATCGAGTGATAACCTAAAGTGTTTTTAAGCGATAAAACTTTTGGATTAGTTTTTGACCGGTACATTTTTTTGAAAAAATTTTTATTCACACGTTGCTCCATCAATTTGAATAACCTTAAAAATAACTGTATACAAAAAACAGTTTTTTTCAACTGTCGACATGCGTAGCTATTGATTGTAGAATAAACTGAGAGGAAAAAAGTTAATTGAGCACCATTTTTGGAACTATCTAGTAGTGCAATATTACTCTGACTTGGCCAAAGTACGGCGAGTATCAGCATAAACTCACGTGGATACTCGAGCTTTAGATCGGACTTTTGGCTTTAGCGCACCGAGGCTGTGTTTCATCAATAATCTTCAGTCTAGATTCTAGACTGGCGTTTTTAGTGACAGAGTGCGTTCGTCTAACTGTGTACACTTTGAAATTTAAATTTATTTTAGGGCAAATATCTGACATTCCTTGAGAATACATATGACTCATCCCCTGTTATTCAAAAAAGATCGTCGTGGAAAAGGTGTTCGTATCTCTAAGTGCTAGAATGTCTAAACTTTGCGGAAAAAATAGTACTGAAATACTGCGGTTTACGAAACGCAGTGTGTGCATACACTGTACGAAAAACCTCATCAAAAACGTTGCTCTAGACTTGAGTAAATGCTTTAACTAAAGGCAAGTACCGATGTATCTTGAATTAGTACAGACATTATCTACGACAAAGGCTCCGTTAATTAAC